AGGGTAGACTAGAATTTAAAGCATCAACATATACAACAAGATATTATAACACAACTCATATTTTTCAGTATCAACATTTCAACACATTCAACTTTATCAACTTTACGACTACATTTACTACAACACAAGGTCAACTTAAACAATACAACATTAACAACTCAATTTACAACACATCAGCATACTTCATCACAAATCAACATTGCATATGAACAACACAATTAAATCAACACATTATATGCACAACACAAAAATTATGTGTGTCATCATGCATTTCAACTAGAAAATCTCCTACGATACAAGGTGAGTAGTTTTAGTGGTTTGACCTTACCAAATCAACAACATAGGGTGATCTTTATGGCTTGATAGATCAAGAACAAATTAAATATCAATCCACAACACAATAACTTGGTTTCTCAGATATTGTCACTTAAGTAAGGAAGTCTAGTACTACTATTAGGTAAAATAGCTGGGTATGGGCCTACCACGACATTAGGTAACTTAACTAAATCTCCTATAAGATTAGCCCACCGACTATCCTCCAAATAATATGTCCTTCCGATATTTGATTAGGAACTAAGTTCTCAACTTTGTATTTTACTCGGTTGGTCACTTGTAATTAGTATAACTTAACCTAACCCCTATATTGTGATTGTTTTATACATGTGTCTCTCGACCTTGTCACATGCGATACCAACTAAGTCCTAGAGGAGATTCAACACAACTATTCATTTCAAGGGTAAACTTCCCAATAAAGGTTTTCAACAAATTTGGGCTATTGGAGCATCACAACACAATATTCACATAATGGAATATACAACTTTTAAAACCTTTTCTCTAGTCCTAAGTTGACCATCATAGCTCAACAACATCATGTCTAAATGTCCAGAGCATTCTTAACATTTATCATCTCAACAACACAACAGCATCATGCATATAACAATTTCAACACAATTACACAACCACATAACCTACAACTCATCTCAACTTTTAACTATCAACTCACAACACGATCATCACATACAACATCATCCATGCAACTTATTCATCCTTATTTAGTCATCAAACAACTCAATCAACAAGTATTTCATAATTCATCAAATTAAATAACATGCTCTCCTTCAACAATCAAAGTTTGGCATCACACTCCTAGTGCTATCCGTGCAGGAAACTCTTTATCTCGTTCACGCCCGACACTCCATAAGCTATGTCCATCATGGATAAGGTAGAGACCCCTAAGACCTTACGCTTGATATGGAAAAATGTCACCCCAACATCATTTCAAGTAAAGAACCCCTATCTAACTCAGGTTTGGCATCACCATACTGGCGCCCGGTGTCATCCAGATAGAGAGATCTGGTTTAGTCATGTTAGGTGCTAGTCAACCTTGGGCCCAACATCACCAAGTCAAAGACTCTTAATGCTCTCACATTTAGCGTCATTCCTACCTAAGATAAGTCTTTCTCCCCATGCTTATATTGGAACGACACTCGACACAACAAGCAATCTACACTTATGCAGATCACAAATTCTACCAAATTCACCGAAAATTAGCCCAAGCCACATATGCAACACAAAATAATAATCCTACTCAACACATGCAACTTAAATCCAACTCAAAAACAAACACGCAACAACAATTCGTAGCAAATCATCACATTCTTTCTCATAAACCCAAAACTCCAATTCTCAATACAACCTACTCTGTTTTGATCGATCTCAACCATGAATCTCAATGGAATTCATACAACACACAACTTATGCATCACTACATAACTCAACTACTCAATCAAAATCAATAAATCTAGCTTCTTTCACCTCAAAAGAGAAACAATTGAGGTAGGAGAAGAGAAACGAAACCTCGCACTAGATCAACAATTTGATTCAAGACTTCCACTACTTGAATCACAACAAAACAACCTAAGATCAATTTGAATAGAAGAAGAATCTCATTGAAAGGGAAGATTCAGGGGAGGAAGAGTCTACAGACCAAAGTCTATCTCTTTAGAATCTCCTCTCACTAAGTTTCTAATGAATGAAATTTATGAGACTTTATTCAAAATAGAAACTTTATATACTCCTCCCTTTAGGGTCAAACTGGATCTTTGTCCATAGAAACTCTCAACACTACTGAAACTCATAAAAAATCCTCAGATCCTAAAGTTTCTCAACTCAAAGCAACAACTCAAATTAATAACATAAAAATAATTATTAACACTCTACAACTTACATTATTACAAAACCTAGTTCAACTTTTTCATAGGATTTAGTAATGAGTTTTGATTTTAAAATTTAACTAAATTTAATTCAATATATATACATGACATATTATTTTATTATACATACCACTCTACTTATATATTAAAAGAGAAATTTCTCTCTTACTCAAATAATAACACAATTAAATTAAAAAAAATATTTAAAAAAATGCATTATCTAATTCAAATTACTTTTTTTTTCACATAACACATATATAAACATGGATAAATTTTAATGTTTTGATTATAAATTATGAAAGTATAAAAATAAATTTTTTTTTACAATACTAAAATCAAAATCTATTTATTTTGTAAGGATTAAACATATTGATGTTGCATTTGATGACGAGGACCAAACCATTCTTCTCCTTAGTTCTTTGCCAAAAGCTTATGAAAATTTTATAGACATGATAATTTTTGGTAAAATTTCACTATAAAAGAGTAATGAATTTCTCAAGTTCAAGTAATGGAAATTTCTAGTGGAGAAACAAACAAATAAGTAGGTCAAATGACTCAAGACAGATAAATGTGCTGGAATTTTGCAATAAGGAGTTCAATGAGTTATGCTCAAATGAAGGAATAGTTCGCCATAAAACTGCAAGGCACACTCCACAATAAAATGATGGTGTAGAACGAATAAACAAGACATTACTTGAGAGAGCCCGTTGCATGCTTTCAAGTGTAGGTTTGTCTAAGCAATTTTGGGTAGAGGCGATCAATATTACATGTGATTTGGTGAACATATCTCATTCAATAGTTGTTAAAAGCAAGACTCTAGAAGAAATGTGATATGATTTTATGACAAATTATTCAATTTTATGTGTATTTGGGTATCTGACTTATGTTCATGTCAATGAAGGAAAGTTGGAACTAAGAGTTAAGAAATGCATTTTTGGCCATTTTAGTTTCATCATTAATTTTAACCTAGAATCCTACTCCCATCTATTGAGCATCATTTTTCTGATGTTAGATGATTTTACATGACCTCTTATTATGCACTTTGGATAGCTACCATTTTCCCCTCCATTTTTTCTTCGATAACTTTGCTTGCTCCACTTAGGAGGGATCTAGGGTTATCTGATGAGTCGGAGCATGACAATTTACTAGTTGTCCAATTATCTGTAAATATTTGAGAGGTTATAGATCTCGTAGAAGCTCAACCTCTAGAGATTTTCCTGGTACCATAAAATCGACCTAAATATAGGCACAATTAGGGTTGAATTAGATTTGAAGGCATCATAAGTATAATAACATTTGCAGTACTGATTCATCACTCTCATAAATATGGATAACAAGGTTTAAGCCATCTTACATATAAAATTAAATGGAAATGAATCAACAAGTTTCCCAAAAGAACCTCTTAAATCAGTTAAAAAGAAAAAGGTAACCCAATAAGCAGAAAAGAACCTTCTTCTCTTTTTGGATTTCTGATATCACTCCAGTTATTCCAACCAATGATTTGGAACTGGTCAGATGGACACTGAGAACACTGCAATGAATGTCATCAGCATTTAAAATTTGGTAAGTTAGGTTATAAAGTTTTCCTTTGTTACACATAATAAAAGTAAATTATATGATTTGTATTTTGCTCATCTAAAGCAATGCTTGATAACAAACGTGTGCAATTATGCAAGTGCTTTCTCATTCTGAACTTCTGATAATTTATATCTTTAAAAAATAATTATTCATAATAAATTTTACTAATAAGATAATTTATATATTTATCAGTATTTAAAGTTTGCTTAGATAAAATTTAGAAAAACTTTTAAAAGTTTATCCATTAAAATTTTTTCAATAAAAAATAAGGTCTTTTAAAATTTGTATCCAAACATGTTTTAAGATCTTTGTAGTCTTGTAATAATTTATATCTTTAAAAAATAATTATTCATAATAAATTTTACTAATAAGATAATTTATATATTTATCAGTATTTAAAGTTTGCTTAGATAAAATTTAGAAAAACTTTTAAAAGTTTATCCATTAAAATTTTTTCAATAAAAAATAAGGTCTTTTAAAATTTGTATCCAAACATGTTTTAAGATCTTTGTAGTCTTGTATTATATTTTCAACATTCTCTCCAACTAATTATAAGATAGGAATAAAATATATAAGAAAAATGAGATTAAACATATTTTTTTTTCCATCCAAAATTAGTTAATTTTGATTTTAATTTTTTTTTCTAAAATTAAAAATATTATTTTTAGTCTTTTTTTAAATTATTTTTAGTTATTTTTTATTTATTAAAAAATTAAGTAGCTATCTTATGTGTTATTTAAAATTATTGACGATATCATATTAGTGTTTGATATATCTAAAAAATTTATATAGTTATTTAAATGATTTTTATTTATCTATTTTAAAATGATCGATAAAAATATAAAAAAAATTAAATTTTAGGATAATAATTTTTTTTAAAAAAATTACAAAATTAAAATTAAAATTTATTTATTCCACAAAAAATATAAATTATAGAAGGATTAAAAATAAAATAAAAATCAAAAGAACTCAAATTAAAAATAAACTCATTTTTGATAGATTAAAATATATTTTAAAAACACTCATTCTACTAATAATTACTAGTCCTTTATTTTTGAAGGAAAGTACAGCGACTTTTTTTAACGCGTGCGTAATAATTACTATTTTTTAAGGATGTATTGAAAGTTTGAAACTGGATTTGGAGAATTGTGTTTTACCATGGTGAACATGCGCGACGCATAAATTCCAGAAAGGTAAAAAATTAAATAAAAAAATCCCTAGACGCCATCCGAATTTCCCAATTGTGGCATAGGAATGCCGTGTTGTTTTCTCATTCACCACACAAATTCCTAATTCTCACTTTGTTTTCTCTCTCACAACCATTCTAGTCTGTAATTAATTATCTTTAGTTCAATCGTGTCTGTAGTTGTTTGAAGCATTGTGCTATTGTTCCGGTTTTGGTCTCCGAGGATTGTGTCGGATTCCGATGAATTATGTAAAAAAAGCTGCGCATGTCGACCCCATTTTCGCAGCACATGGATGCCGCTGACAACAACAACCCTAAGGTTTTTTAACTAATCCCCAATTGTCAATCTTACTTTCATGTGATGGATGATTGCTCTATTTGATTGCTTGGATTTTTATTTTTTATTTTGGGACTAAACTTAATTTTGATTCAAATTTATTGCCTATTTGTGACTATGAAAGATGCTTTTTAATTTGCCCATCCTTTTCCTGCATTGTTTTCAGCTGAATAGCAGGACCCTTTGGGTAGGTGAAAGGAATCGCATTTATTTGAGTAGCATGTAGTTTGGAGTGAGAGGAAGAGAAAATATTGAACAAAAGTGCAGAAATGAGTGATTTTGACGTCTATGTGTTTGGTTAATTTTGTAGTGACTATTTAGGTTCCGGGCAGATTGTAGTTGTAGTTATCTGAAACTGAGTTGTTAAGTGCAGCGGAAATAGGTTTGTCTGTTAATTGAATTATATGGATATTCATTGGTTGATACTTCTCTAGAGCATTTTCTGAAATCTGCTTCATATTGTGCAACACAGTCTTTCTGAAACTAAAGATTATTTGGTTTTCTTTGCTTTCTTGAAACTGAAAAACTCTCTGCAAGTGTCCTATTTGCGCTTCAAATTATCTTACTCTGTCAATGCCATCATCACTGCATGTAGCAAAAATGTTTGACTCTTTTCTGTTGTTTTCATGTGCTCACGTTGGGTCACTTTTACTTCATTTCCAGGATTATTACAAAGTGCTGGAGGTTGATTATGATGCAACTGATGAGAGTATCAAATTTAATTACCGAAGACTTGCGCTGGTTGGTGGTGACCTATACTTTTTTGGTAGCACAAATTTTCAAACTATGAAATTTTCTTTTCTACAAGTTTGATTTACTGTGTGCACATGATTCTATACATTTGATAGAAATGGCATCCTGATAAGCATGGAGGTGACAGTGCTGTTACTGCAAAATTTCAAGAGATAAATGAAGCTTACAATGGTAAAATATTTCATACGTTTACTTTTTCCTTGTAAGCACATAATTTAACAAGCTTTATTCTTCTGCCTTCCACAATCACCCTTATCATTACGGTTCCTGAAAATGGAATATTTTTTTTCTATCTTCAACACAATCACAATATACAAATGGTTGGAGTAAAAGGACAAGTGATTGTAAGAACGAAGATTGTGGTCCTTAATTAATTTGGATATGAAGTTTAATCTTTGTTGTCAAACTTTCTGCCTCAGTTCCACTTGGTGTAATACTGCCTAAATTTTTCATTAGTTATACACTTTGTTATCATATAATTTTGTAAGCATTACATAATTTTACTCCTTGTGGTTACTGGAAAATTTAGAAGAGTGAATGATGGAATTTCATTTTCAAGAACATGATGATAGCAAAACTCAAACCCAGAACAAAATTGAGGAAAACCCAAGTGATATAATATGTCATATACACTTCCAATCTGCATGACATTATCATACGACAAAGAGAATTTTTTTTATCTTATAATGAAAATCATCTATCAACTACTTGAATTTAGGAAAATATATTTAAATGAATACTGAAATTTACTGGATTGTCGACTTGACTACTTGAGCACCACTCAAACTCAAAATTGATTCTGTAATGGAATTATGGAAATTACTTTAAACTTGATAAATAGGTCTTTAAGTGGTACTTCGTGATTAATAACTTTTTAGTGCCACGAGTGTGACCTAGATATGTTTCTCCTGCATATAGTTTTGGTTTAGAAAACTGCTAGCAGTTGCTTGTAAATGCTATATTATGATTTTTTGTTGTTGATTATTGTCTTTCTCTGTTATTTTATAGTATTAAGTGATCCTGCCAAGCGTTTGGACTATGATTTAACTGGGGTATGTGAGATTGAAAAATATAGCTTGCAGGTATGCAATGTAACTGTCATTTAAGATTTTGTAATTATTCACTTTGATTTGCTTATGATGTTTGATCTTGAATGATAACCGCTGTGCTTGCCTTCATGGGGCTTTCTCTTTGCTACACAGGAATATCTTGCCAGATTTAAAGGCATGATTCTTACCTGCAATGGACTTGGTATCAATCAAACAGACAGATGGTATATATTTTGATTTCTTTTTTCTTTTTTCCCTGTCTTTATGTTCTCTCTTGTTCTTTGGTAGAGATGATGTAACCATAACATGGCCTGTCGATCCATGAAAATTTTCAAAATGAATAGGACTAAAATCATTTTTGTGTTCTAATGAAAACTCGCACTACTGGATAGAGAACTATGTAATTGGTTTTGCCCACGCAACCAGTTGAACTTTATTTTTGCCCAGTCCAACATTCTCTGCAGAAGCTCTAAAGTCAAAACAACTTTTGCATGCCAATAAAAGTTTTAGCCATTATGTGGGAAATGGGAATGTGTGCTGTTATGTTTAATTGAGTCAACAAAATTAACTAAAAGCTGGCATAAGGTGTACAAAGGTGTGCTTAAGGAGTTGGATAATTTTGGACACCTCAGCTTTGTCATGATACTTTGCAATCCAGCTCAGTCCCAAACTACCCGAACATATGAGCTGTTCAAGTCTCAATGATGTAATACTAATTTTTCATTTACAATTTTTCCTTGTGCTCATGAAAGTAAGAGTTATCTCTTACTTATATACACTATTTTGACAATACATGTTGATAACTGAATATTTTTGAGCATGTGAGGTTTGCAAGATTATAATCTGTGAATAGTCTAATAATATGAATAGTTTGATAGGCCCAACAACAACTGTTAGGATAGAATCTGTTACCATATTGGAATTTTGAATTTGGGCTTAACTTAAACTCAAAAGCTAACACATGAGGTGAAAATTGCTCTCTAATTATATACATCATTTTAACCAAATGATTAGTCAATGTGCGATTCATGTGAGGGAAAGTTGGTGTTAAGTTGACAGGAGCCTGTCCACTGTAAGTTCAAGGAATTTCCTGCTGCCCGATTGGTGGACATTTGTAATTTCTATTAAATGTCTGCAATTCTATGTCAAGAGTCCACTTAATGTAGATTTAAGGTTACAAAGTATAGTGACGTATTGCTTTGAACTATTCAATTCTAGGGCGAACTGCATATGGAGAATTTAGGAGACATGGGTCTTCCTGTCACGCAACTATGCCTTGGGTCAAAACACTTTGAAACCAAAGCGTCTACTTTTTCCACTTGAGATCCTTCCCTTCTAAGCCCAGATCACTATTTCATGATTTATTAATAATCATTCAAGCCATAATTTAAAATTTTAAGTACTTTTTTAGTAACTGTTCTCCGCCTCGAAAGGCCAACCTAATTTCTGTCCTTACCTTGATTGTCCTTCTTGAGCCCCCAAACTGAACATCTATTATTGTAGATAGAATTGCACTCTACTATCTGATGTCAGTTTTATTTTTTTATCTAACTCATCCTACCTAACCTAAATTTATATTGCGTTCTAAAATGCAGGTCACAACAATTGATTGAAAATTTTGAATCCCTAGATAAGTAAGGTTTGTCATCCCTCTGACTCAGTTTATGTTAATTTCTTTTGAATTTGATAACTGCACCAGTATGTCTTAATGAATTAATCGACAAACATTTCTGACAGGCATCTAAACCTCAATTTGGGCCAGCGGAGTTATGAATAAGGAGGATATGTCTTTTTTACTTTTACAACTGGCCTAATCATGCTCTCAGGTCTTAAATTCCATTCCACTCGGTTTCACTGAGATTTGAAACCTCCATTATGGACAACACAACATATCGTACATACTGTTTATAGAATGATCTGTTATGCTGAACCTTTACGTCCTTGTACAAGTTTTCCTTCATGCGTCTTAGTTTTTTGACTAGTAGATAATAATTTTGCCTTTTACCTGTATATTTAATCAGTTAATAAGGCCCTATTGGTTGAATTGGTATTAGTCGGGGTCAGAATTCTGAAACGCGTGCCCGATGGTTGAATGCTTTTTAATGGACTGTAATACTAGTAAACAAAAGCGACTATCAAATATTCATATATGAAAGATAACGGCACTCAACCTTGAAAAATGCAACCCACCAAATTAAAATAAGGTTCTGTTTGGAAGTTAATTGCCTCCAATTGTTAATGTCTTTTTCATTCTGATTGGAAGTTCATCACCAAATCTCCAATTCTTCGTGTATTTTTTATTTGTTCGGTGCCATTATCACTATGTTGTCTGGACCTACTATGATGTGATGATGCATGAATAATGGAAAAAACAAATGCTGCGTAGAACCCTTTAACCTTTTGCTGCGTCATCTTGTATTACAGCACGAGTGTTGTAAGTTGCACTGGATCCCCATATATTATACGATCGCATAACATGTATAAATATAATGTATTACATCGTTTTTCCTAATAAGAAAGTGTGGACTAAGTTTGAAAATTTCAACGGGTGGCATTCTGTTTTAGTTTCGGTCGTTAAGAATGGGAATCTTTAAATTTGTTCAACAATTGAGGCTTGGTGTTGTCACGCTTCTTTATTTAAGACTAGTTAAAATAATAAATACGTGAGTATTCATAGTTGGAACCATTGATTACATTGTCAAGATTCCATTGAAATCAATGATACAAAACTGATAGTAGTAGTACATTTATACTTACCGAATAAACAATTTAAAATAGTAAAAATGTTGGGATTCGGAGATTCACTAATTAATTCCCCTACTTTTGTTTTTAATTGGACCACCTTATTTATACTAGTATTTCTTGATCTTTGGTTGCTTCTCATGTTTGGTCAAAAATTAAGAAATTATTTCACAATTTTTAGTGAAAATTTTCACTTTAATATTTTTCTAAAATCACGAGCATTATCATTGGTGTTTTTTTATTTATTTATAAATATTTTTAAAAATATCAAATATTTAAAAATCATCATTGACTTGGTTTTTCAAATTATTTATTACCAAATTAACCTGTAAAAAATCTATCACTATGTTCATTAAAAATTATTTTGGTCCACTTGGGTCTTTCATGAACATTAAAAAAGTGACATTTCAGATTTTTGAGGGTACAGTTTAATGACAAATTAATTTCTTGAGGAACGAATTCTGTGACAAAAGTATCTTAGACTAAAATGGTAAAAAAAACAATATGAAAAATTAATTTAATATTAAAATATTCAAATATATAGTTTTAAGAAAGTTTAACATTAGTATTGAAAAGAAGAGTTAGGTGAAGGGTAAAGTTAAAAAATCAGGACGTGACTAACCAAATTTGAATGCTAGGAGAGGCAGAGAGAATAGCAGTGCAAAATAAAAACAAAACAGAAAATTGGGAATAGCAAACACCCCCTCTTTAAAAACCTGAATTTGGAAAAAGAGGGTATGAGGTGAGGTGACGGAACCTCTCCAATAGGAAAAACTGGAGTGTCCAATTGAATTAATGAATCTCAATCATTCATATATCATTTATATGTAAATTTAAAAAATATTAAAATTGAAGGGTAGGTGATATTTCATCCAATTTGGAGAGAGTTAAGCAATATATAAAAGCGTTGTCGTGAAGTTGCTTCAGTGCATCATTCTTCTGTCTACCACGTGGTACCGTAGACGTTACCATCTTCATTTCTTACTATTTTATCACAAACTGCTTTTGGAAGCTAGTAAGAGGTTAAAACCTACGCCACACCTTTCAAAACGAATCAGCGAATCCCGTGCAAACCAGTTTAAAAACAGAAACACCTCTTATACATATACAACAAGTAATCAACTAATTACCACTTCCTTTAGACAACCTCATTGCTAGTTAGTTAGTCATTGGTACATTGAAATCATTGTTGAAACCATGTTTCTTAAGACAAATTAGTACGTTCTTAAAAAATTGGCGCATAGTAGAAACTTAGTTGTCATAACAAAGCATTCAATTTAACCCCTCAAACATATATAAAAACACCACAAAAAAAAAAAAAAAAACTCTGCTACATAAATTCCACTCTGATGATTCTCTGAACCAGCTGAACAAAACATTCAACAATCCTATGTAATTTAATACCCTCTCTTTAAATATTAAACTCATTTCTAACATTAACCAGAAAACAAAATAGCAGCAGCCATCAGGGTTGTTCATTGTTTCGCATGTACTAAGCAAAACAAGAGACCCACCTCCTCGCGATCATCGATACAATCATATAGCATGTTTTGATTAGATGTGAATTAGTCAAAACAAATATTAATTACTTATACATCAATTTCTACATAACTTTTATGATGTAAAACCAAACATGCTACTACAAGAAGAAGAAAAAGAAAGAAAAAAAAAAGCACCCAATTTTTCCCCCTTCCGCAAGATGCAAACTTGCACAGAACACAACATGATTAGATATAGAGAAATTTGGAATGACAGAAGAAAGGGAATCTAAAGATGCAAACCTAAGGCGAGAAAACCCTTCCTAATTAGATTTATTTATCCATTGAATAATAGTGTGTTGGGAGAAAGAGAAAGAGAAAGAGAAAGAGAGAATGAACTAAGAGGAAAGGAAGAAGCGAATGTGATCGAGGAAGGTCAAATGCTGAGGCCTATCCTTGCGCTTCACATAACCGATAACTTCCTTCGCCGTGTAACACCGCAACCCTTCCTTCCCGTTCTTCTTCCACATCTCCAACGCGTAGTTCCGGTGCGCAAAATACGCCTCAGCGCACGTTAGCCCCTCCACCACCACGTCCTCCTCCTCATCCTCATCCTCCTCCGCCTCCTCGTCGCGATCGGCGGCGGGGACAACCTGGATGGGGAGGCGCTCGTAGTGGGCGCGAGAGGTGCCCTCGAGTTCGTCCATACGCGCGAGGGCGCGCGTGGAGACGGAGTAGAGCTCGCCGCGGACCCTGCGACCCGACCCGATAAGGTTGATCAAGAAGGGGACACGGTAGGGCCCGCAGACGAGGGGGTAGTTGGCGGCGGTGCGGTAGGTTCCGACGAAGGAGGCGTCGCCGGCGCGGATGAGGTCTTGGAGAAGGTTGTGGTTGGAGAAGCCTCTCTTCAAGGTTCCGTAGGTGAATATGAGTGATCCTTCTCCGATGCCATTACCGTTACCGTTACCGTTACCGTTACCCTCTCTCTCGGCTACCATTGTTTTGAGGATTGGGCGTTGTTTGGCATGGGATGGGATGGAATAGGTCCTCACTCCTTACTTGGTGAATCAACCAAAACTAACTTCCCTTTTATAGTGCCAATCTCCTTTGCTTCCCCCTTTTTTTATTTATTTTTTCTCTTATTGGGGTTCCTTTTTTCCTTCTTCAAAACACAATTCAAAATCAACCCTTTTTTTTTTGTTAGGTCGACATATTTAAATAGTTAAAATATCATTAGTAGTAGTTTTATATATTAGATATGAATGTTTGTTATAAATTAACATATTATATTATATGTTAAATGAATTAGATTGTCAAATTTATTATTATTTTTAAGTATATTTAGAGCTATTTTTTAATTAAAAAAGATTTTTTATAAAGTTAATTTTGAATTTTTTAATTGTTAATATAGTAAATATTAAAATAAGAATTTTGATATTCAAAATTAGGGAAAGTTTGATGATATCAAACTCCGTTCAATATGTAGATATGGGGAAAAATGAGAAAAAAAAAATATAAATGAGAAAATTTTTAATAACTCATATTTTACATTAAATTTCAACGATTCAATTATTAAATTAAAATCAGTCTAATTTTTTTTAAAAAAATAAAAAATTATTTAATACTTCATTTCATTCATCAATGTGATAAATAATTATAAAAATATTTCATTGATTGATTTAAATTTATATAACAAAATATCATATGACTTTCAAATTTTTTAAAATTTTATAGATTTGATCTATACATTAAAAAAATTTAATTTAACAATTAGATCGTTAAGTAGAGTAAATCTATCAAGATTAACTTTTGGAGTAAGTTTATTCCTTCTCTATATTATATCAAATAAGTTATTGAGTGGAGTTAAAGGAAGTTATACCTCGTTGAATATACTCAATATTTAACCTAAAATATTTACTATTTTAAAATAAAACAATTTTCAAGCTATTAATTGGTTGTGTGAGTTTAACGCATGTAGCCTGGTCATAGTTGGTTGGGTAGAGTAAAAGAGGTTAATTTTCCAAATGTGGTGAATAAGGATTTGATTTCATATTGAGATAAGATCACATTTAATGCTTAATCCTATCATGAACCAAATTGATTTTGAAGAAAAAGAATATTGGGCGAAAAAACAATGCATGTAACATGACTTTGTTTTTGACTAATCTATATAATTTTTAAGCTAATTGCTTTTCAATTGTATTTTTACTGATGCTTAATCCTATACAATGCATTGGACAAAATAATTAATTATAACTTATTTTATATCAAATAGAAAGTTTCTTTAAAAAATATTTAATAAATATGTATATCTCAACGGTTAATTGAGTACTTGTTATATAATCTAAATGGCTAGAGATAACGAAATGGAAATTGCAGAGTTAATTAGCGTAGGTGTGTGCATGAACCGAGAAGAGGATGTAAAATGTTAAGGAACGGGGAATCAAATCAGTGAGCAAGTCCAAATGAAAGACAAACGAGAGTTAATAAAGAAAAATTGTTGAGGAACCATTTCGAATGTGATGATCAAACGTGGCAATGTATGGAGAAGAAGAAAACAACGAATGAGGAAGGCACGGGTTATGAAGCTGGCATATGGTATTGGTGGTCAGTGGTCATATTTACTTTGCTTTTGCTTTTGCTTTTTTGGTACTAAACCGTACCCACATAAAAATCCAAAGCATAAAGTACAAAATTGATGATGAAAAAGGGAAGAGGAATCCCATAGGCCTTCTCAATTACACAAGAACCGTACACGTGTGATTCCGTACTTGTACCTTTCCGCATGTGCCATATAAAAAGCCAAAATGCTGTCTGCTTTGTCAATGTCACCACTCACCACATCATTAACAATTCTTCTCAACAACTTTTTGCCTTTTCGGCATTAGAGTATTTGACATGATAATTTATATATAAAAACTATTGTTTATTCAAACAACGATTATTAACAACATTTTTGAATTGGGAGACATTGCAGCGACCCATTTTAATTTCTTAAAGATTGTTTGATCAGAAATAAAATATATACTTTTCAGTTTATAAATACCACAGCATTGTAAAACTTATGAAAAATGAATTAAGCAACTCCACCAGCATGATTGTATCGTTGGGGACGCTCCTAATCAGTAAAAATCCACAGGTATATGGATATGCTATTTGCCTAGGCAGAGACAGCTACCATTTACAAAAAAGTAATGAGAATATTCACAGGTCAGGTTAGCTAAAAGGGATCAGAAATAAAATATATACTTTTCAGTTTATAAATACCACAGCATTGTAAAACTTATGAAAAATGAATTAAGCAACTCCACCAGCATGATTGTATCGTTGGGGACGCTCCTAATCAGTAAAAATCCACAGGTATATGGATATGCTATTTGCCTAGGCAGAGACAGCTACCATTTACAAAAAAGTAATGAGAATATTCACAGGTCAGGTTAGCTAAAAGGGATCAGAAATAAAATATATACTTTTCAGTTTATAAATACCACAGCATTGTAAAACTTATGAAAAATGAATTAAGCAACTCCACCAGCATGATTGTATCGTTGGGGACGCTCCTAATCAGTAAAAATCCACAGGTATATGGATATGCTATTTGCCTAGGCAGAGACAGCTACCATTTACAAAAAAGTAATGAGAATATTCACAGGTCAGGTTAGCTAAAAGGGGGATACGGCCTTGAGTTACCAAAGTAATTTGTTGCCCTATTTCCATACCGTCCAACACCCATATGATTAGGATTAGGTACACCATAGTAGTTTGGGGGTAAACCAAAGTGCAGGGGCATGGGCATAAACACATGCTGGTATGGGCGGGGAGTGAAGACAGAAGGCTGAGACTGCGTTATAGCAGTCCGAGGACGTTTGTTGATGTTACCCCACTGTTGATTATTGTCATTGGAGAGGACTTCATTAGCACGTTTCTTTTCTTCAGGTTTCTGCACTGCAACTTGATTTACGCTTATTGATTCATTAGCATTGGCACATACCTTTTCTTCAGCTTGTTGCACTTTATCATCTTTCAGGATGACTGCCCCATCACTGGGTTTCTTTTCTTCAGGATGTTGCACCTTCACTTGATTTTTAATGAACGTATCATTTGCGCCTTTCTTTTTCTTGGATTGTTGCACTTTATCTTGATTTTTGCTGACTGCTCCAATGGCACGTTTCTTTTCTTCGCACTTTTGCATTTGAACTTGATTTGGAGTGACTGCTTCACCAGCACACGTCTTAACTTCAGGTTGTTGCACTTTAGCTGGATTCCGGCTGACTGATGCTTGGGCGGGGTTAATCTTTTCAGGTTCTTGCACCTTATCTTGATTCATGATGACTGTTGCATTTGAATGTTCAATACCGCGTTCCCTTTCTTCGGGCAGTCGCTCTTCAACTTTGGAGACAGCCTTTGATGCTAAACGAACCATATTTTCCTTCTGCCTTTCCAATTCAACAATGCGATCCTGAATCTCGTTAACTAGATCCTGAGATCCTAGGTTGTTATCTGAAATGCATTGTAGAACATTTCCCAGAGTAGCAATTTCTCTGTCCCTGGCCTTAACCTGAGTCCACGTTCAAAATATAACTACTAGCATGCAACTATATGAAGACTGACAATTTAATGAAATAGAATTTGAATAGAGAAAAATAACCTTTTTTTCGATGGACCTTTTTTTGCCAACAAATCTCTTGGTGATCGTTTTTACTCTCGCCATATGTTGTCTTAAGAGATCAACTGGTTGGATCTTGTCAGCCAACTCATATGCACAAATGAATCTAACAGCTTCGATGAGCTGCTGCATCTTAACAAGATTCTGAACAAAATCTGAGAGACATAATATAATTTCACCTCCTCAAATCAATTCAGAAAAATCCTATGGGATATTACTACCAATTACCAAAAAATGAGCAGAAGAATTAGGACGTTCCAGTAAAAGAATATAGCGATGAAATCAATTCCAGTTGCCAACGAGACATGACAACCCCCTCCAACCAAGGTAAGCAAGATTTAAAAAAAATCTGTAAAGGCAACTTCAGTTTTCAAGAAAATATAGATTCAATTTCCCTCAAAGAGCGAACGGTTTAACCTTATTAAGTTGCATATAGTGTTTCCTGTACAATTTGTTGACTTATCAATGTATTATAAAAGATACCAAAAAAAACTATTATTTCCACCAAAAAAAAAATATATTGCTACCGGTGATTAAATAAGACATACCATAGATTTTGTCCACAAAACCGAGAGTCCGAAACAGCTCTACAGTTTGCTTGTGCTGAGCAGCCAATTCCAAAAGCTTCAAAACTTCATCTTCATTAAAATCAGAAGCCAATCCATAATTAGACAAAAGCAGTAGAAAGCCCAGAATCATCAAAGAGTTTTCAGCACTTTCTCTCATGTTGGCTTTCAAATCAAGTGCTAGCTTCAACGCCTCTTCCCTTACATGGGGTTTAACAGGTGGTGAGATTATCATCAACTGTTCTAACAGAAATATGTGGCTCCCATCAATGATTACACCTTCGTTTCCTATGTTCTGTGGAACAATAGGGTTCTGTATGATATCCAAAACAAGTTTTGCAGGATCTGATGATGTTTGGAGATTGACTAAAATGTCACTGCCAATCAACTCAGGCTCATTTGTGTGCTCAATATAGGGCAACAGCAAATTTCTTCCATCAAGGGTGGGACTTGATCGATTATCTGTGTAAGATACAGCTCCCTCATATTTATGAAAGTACCAGAAAATAACGACAACATCATAGAATAGAATGCAATACAAAAGTCAGCAACAAAGCAAAGCTCTCCAAACTTGATTTGCATGGGTGACAGAAGAAAAGCCACTTTATACTAATATTTAGATATTTAGAATATATTATTGCATCGTACACTTGATCTTACCTGAATAAGGGCCATTTGGCATTAGATAGCTATAAAAGTATTTAGGAAAATGCTAACCAATAAATGGTGCTATAATACACATTAAAATACAAGATAATTCCATACAGGCAGAAAATGCGTCATTCTTTAGAATTTTGGCATGTGTATAATGATAGACTAGGCATTTTTGTGTTTGAACACTTAGCTGATAAATGTGAATCATATGATCACTATCATGAATGATGTTCTAAATTATAATATTAAGACAACGTACAAATGCAAAATAGCTAGTTAATGGCCAGAATGCTGTAAAGAAGTTCCAGCAGAAAAAACTGGTGAAAACAGTTTCTAATTTTACAAAGTTTCAAAAGACACGACACATGTATCATTTACATCCATAAGGCTTGTAAGAGTTTTGCTACAAGAGATTCTACAAGTGTTTAAAAAGATATATAATTCTACTCGGTTCAACAGCATATTATACACGATATTTATCTATCCAAGAAAATTATGGAGAACTGTCAATTTGATTAAGATATACAACATTAACCTGACTAGATAGGTAATAAATAAAATACACATCAGGTGAATAAAAATATCAATATGATTAAAGGAGAGTTGAGATGAAAATTTATCAACAAAATAGAGAGATAGACTCATGTAGTTACCTGGTGATTCAATATTAACGATGGCTTGTGGAGTCTGACAATGCTGGGCAATTATTATATCTAAAAGCCTCTGTAGCTCAATTTCATTCAAAGATTGACCAATCTCATAAGTAGCAACAAATTTTAAAAAATCCAGGACCTGCAAACAATCCTTATCAGCCACAGCTATGTTTGCCTTCCAGTCACTTGCCAATTTCATTGCTTCATGCTTCACATTAACACCAATTGCTGGCAAAGATTTTTTTAATTCATCCATCAAAAGATTACACGTTCTCCTTGAGATAATTGCATCGTATTCAATAAATTCTTGCCTTGAATGAGGAGTATAACAACCTTTTATTGTATCTAGCACCAACTTAGTAGGGTCAGCAGATGTTTGGAGAGCATCAGAGACTTGACTACACATCAATTCGTACTTATCCAGAAGACTAAAGAGCAATTGTACATTCTTAGTATTGTTTGCACTGTTGGCATCCGTGAAATGCTGTTGCTCAGTCTTTGCTTGATGAAGGAGGAGGATATTGGACAAATCTCTCGACACTTCTCCCTCTTCAAATGATTCAGCTTGATTCTGTTTTGACTCAAAATCCTTTACTTTTTCTATTCCTTCAAACAGCATCTCTTTCGGCAAGAGCTCCTCCAGTTGCACATTAAACCGTCCCTCTTTAAACTCAAGTGCCTTTACTTGTCCTTCATATTGATTCTTTTTGGACTCAAGAGCCTTTGTTTGTCCTTCAATCTGCTGCGCTCTTGACTCAAGCTCCTTGAGTTGCATTTTGAACTGTGTCTCTTTTAACTCAAGCTCCTTGAGTTGCATTTTGAACTGTGTCTCTTTTAACTCAAACTCCTTCACTTGTCCTTCATATTGATTCTTTTTGGACACAAGAGCCTTCATTTGTCCTTCAATATGCTGCTCTCTTGACTCGAGCTCCTTGAGTTGCACTTTGAACTGTGACTGTTTTAACTCGAGCTCCTTCACATGTGCTTCATACTGATTCTTTTTGGACTCGAGATCCATCATTGGTCCTTCAATCAGCTTCTCTTTTGAAGTCAGCACCGTCACTCTTCTTTCATATTGCTTCTCATTTGACTCAAGCTCTTTCACTCTTCCTTCAATCTGCTTCTCTTTTGACTCAAGCTCCTTCACCTTTGATTCAAACTGTTTCTCTTTTGATTTGAGCTCCCGCATCCTTCCTTCATATTGCTTCTCATTTGACTCAAGCTCTTTCAATCTTCCTTCATATCGCTTCTTATTTGACTCGAGCTCTTTCACTCTTCTTTCATATTGCTTCTCATTATACTCGAGCTCTCTCGCTCTTCTTTCAAATTGCTTCTCATTAGATTCTAGTACTCTCACTCTTCTTTCGTATTGCTTCTCATTTGACTCGAGCACTCTCACTCTTCCTTCGTAATGCTTCTCCCTAGAATCAAACTCCCTCACTTTTCCTTTAAATTGCTTCTCTTTTGACTCATGCACCAGTACTACAACTTCAAATTCCTTCTGTTTTGATTTGAGTTCCTTCACTTGGCCTTCGTAATGCTTCTGTTTGGACTCAAGCTCCTTCACTTGACCTTCAAATTGCTTCTCTTTGGACTCATGAGCCTGTACTACTCCTTCAAATTGCTTCTGTTTTGACTTGAGTTCCTTCATTTGGCCATCATAATGCTTCTGTTTCGATTCAAGTTCCTTCACTTGACCTTCAAATTGCTTCACTTTTGACTCAATGTCCTTCACTTGTTCATCAAACTGCTTCTCTTTTGACTCGAGCTCCTTCACCTGCCCTTTAAATCGCGCCTCTTTCAACTCAAGCTCCTCCGCTTTCCCCTCAAATTGCTTCATTTTGGACTCAAGATCCTTCATCTGTCCCTCAAACTGCTTCTCTTTAGAGTCAAGTTCCTTTTGCTTCACTTCAATATCTGCCTCTTTCACATCAAGTTCCTTCATCATTCCTTCACATTGTTTTTTTTTTACCTCAAGATCCTTCACTTGCCCTTCAATTTGCTTCTCTTTTGCCTCAAGCTTCTTGGCCCGCACTTCAATCTGTTCCCCATGCTGCACTTGGCCTTCAAAGTGCCTCAGTCTTGATTGAAAATGCTTCTCTTTTGAGTCCAACTCCCTGACCCTCCCCTCAAACTGCTTCTTCATCAACTCAAGCTCCCTCTCCTTCTTTTCAAACCCCAAACGCCTTTCCTCCATGAAGGACTTGAGAGAATCCACCTCTTTCCTGTTTGATCCAAGCTCTCGAACAAGCTGATTAATCCTGGCCCGCATAGACTTCACTAAATTCTTGTTCTTCAACTCCACATCACCACCTTGTCCATCATTGCGTTCGGCGACGACAGTGTTGGTAATAGCCCTGAGTTCCTCCTCCTTCCTCTCGCGCTCCCTGTGAATGCTGTCCAAAACCTGATGGAACTCCATGTCCTTCGCCTTCAACTCCATCTCGCGCTCTCCGATCAAATCCACGATCAAACAGAGGCGCGCCTCCTTCTCCACGAGGTCGTGCTCGCACTCCTGAATCGCCCTCTGCGTCTTATTGTAGACCTCATCGCGCTCGATTATCACGCGGTGCAGCGTCTCGAGGTGCCAATTGCACTCCTCCTCCTTCACCCTCAGTAACCGCTCGCATTCGGCGATTTTGCGTTGTACGGAGTCGAGTTGGATGCCTTTGGCCTCCAACTCCCGGGTGCGATCCTCGAGGCTCCGGCGAACGGCGCCGTATTCCCTCTCCTTGGCCTCGATGTCGCGACCGAGTTGGCGCTTCACAGAAGCGAGTTGCTTCTCCTTGGCCTGAATGCGGCGGTCGAGGGAGTGCAGACGGTGTTCCTGCGACTGTTGGTGTCGCTTATCTCGGTCGGAATCAGAATCCATGGATTGGTGAAGAAAGGGTTTAAGAGAGAATGGGGTTTATGATTCACGGTGGAAATGTGTGAATGTGAGTGATGGTTACTTTTTTTTGACCTAACCCTGCCTTTTACTGCGCGGATAACCAACGTGATTAAAGGGAGCGGTTAAAATGAGATGTCGTGGTCGTGCCCGTGGCAGTGGCTGCTCTAAATTCAAAAAAAAAAAAAAAAACCGACATTATTAATAGATAGTATATTCTCAGTGTTTTAAGAAGAAAATAAATGTGTTATTTAATGGGTTAAACGACCATTGTAGTGTAGTTTTAGAAATTTATTACCACAATGGGGCTGTTTTGAAACATTTTACACCTTTGGGGCTGTTTTACTGGGTGTCGCTATGGGCCACAGCGACACCATGACACGTGGCAAATTTGGGTTTCAATCTAAGCCATGAACGCCATATTAAACGAGTCGCTGTAGCTGGTGGAGACTTTTATAGAGGCGCTATAGGCTAAAGCGCCTCAAGTCGGCTTAAAATAATCTGAAATAAATTTAAAAAAAAAAAAAAAAAAATGGGGCGCTATGGCTAATGACGCCTCCCAGGAGTCTATTTAAAAAACCATATTTAATATTTTATAAATATAAAAAATGAAAATTAATTTTATAAAAAATGTCTGATAAAGAACAAAAAAACAATAAAGTTTTTTAAAAATATAAAGTTAAAAAATGAACTAATATAATGTGAAATAAATTAAAAAACGAAAAAAAAAATTTTAAAAACTGAGGCGCTGTGGCCTTGGGCGCCTCCAAGGCATTTGGGCTCACAGCGCCTCAAGTGGTCTGATATTTATACCATATTTAATATTTTATAAATACAAAAACTGAAAATTAATTTTTTTAAAATTTTTGATAAAAAAAAAACAATAGAAATTTTAAAAAATATAAAGTTAAAAAATGAAGTAATATAATGTGAAATAAATTTAAAAACGAAAAAAAAAATTTAAAAATTGAGGCGCTGTGGCCTAGGGCGCCTCTGAGATGGTTGGGCTCACAGCGCCTCACGTGGTGTTTTTGTAAAGTATATATATTATATTTTATAAATATAAAATATGAAAAAAATTTATAAAAAAATGTCTGATAAAAAATAAAAAAGAATTAAAATTTTTGAAAAATTATAACTTTTAAAAAGAGGTAATATAATGTGAAAAAAAATTAAAAACGAAAAAATATATATATAAATTTGAGGCGCTATGGCCCAGAGCGTGACCACACACAGGCTGACACGTGTCCACAGCTAATTTGAGGCGTTGCAACTCATAGCGCCTCATTAATTGACCGCCTGCGTGACCACACAGAGGCTGACACGTGTCCACAGCTAATTTGAGGCGTTGCAACTCATAGCGCCTCACTTGGCGCGTAATAAATTCACCGCGTGCTTGGCCAATGAGACGCTGACACGTGGCACTGCGGTTAAAAACTTTTTGTATGTAATTTATAATTATTAAAAAAATAAATTTATATAAATTTTAAAATGATTTCATTTAATTCTGTGTTATTTATATTAATTAAAAAAATATTTTATTTAATTAGAAAAAAAGTTTATTTAAATTTTTTAATTTATTTAATTTAATTCTGTTTTAATTTTATTTAATGTAAAAAATAATTGAAAAACGAAAAAAAAAAAAAAAAAATGGGGCGCTGTGAGCCACAGCGCCACTCAGGCGTACTGGGCCACAGCGATACCCAATAAAAGAGCCCCAAAGGTGTAAATTGTTTCAAAACAGCCTTATTTTGGTAATAAATTTTAAAAAATACGCTACAGTGGTCGTTTAGCCTATTTAATGTGTAATGTCAGTTACAATTCACAACCCATGATATACTACACTATTTACACAATTGATAATGGTAATTCCTTGTAATCAGTTGCAGTTATTATTTTAACTGGTCAATCATCAACTTCTTGTTTAATATGTAGATAATTTATTTTTTAGCATATTATTTATTTATCATAAAGATGTAATTTTGAAAATCGAGGACTTTCTATAAATAAAAAAATTCTAATAAGGAGGCCCTGAAATTTTTTTGTTTTTTTTTAATTACTAGTATCCGTCTAATAATTGAGACTTGAATAATACAAATTATCTTACGGGGTGTATTGAATTAGGATTTTAAATGACTTTTTTAGTTAAAAAAAATTCTGAAATTTAAAAGACTTTGCAACATTTTCATGACTTTTAAGATTTTGTAAGATTCTACAAGACTTTCAATCAGGATTTTAATAGATTTTGCAAGACTTTTAGGGGGGTGTATTGGTTTAGGATTTCGTAGGATTTTAAAAGACTTTTTTTGAGTAAAAAAGTCCCTTGGTATTCAATCAGGATTTTATGTCACTTAAAAACGATTCATTGGTCTGGATTTTCAAGATTTTTTAAAGAGTCCATTAAAATCCACTGGTATTCATTTGAGATTTTTTACAACTTAAAAACAATCCATTGGTATTCAAAAATATAAGGATTTTAAAGGATTGTTGTGTGAGAGGGATTTTGAAGGACTTTCTAGTGATATCTATAAATACCAGATTCATAAAACAATCACATCCAAACCCATCGGATTTTAAAAGATTATTTTAAGTGATTTTTCAAGTGTTTCAAGAATTTTCAAGTGAGTTTTTCATTTTTTTTTCTATGCTCCTTTCTTCTCCATTTTTTCTCTACTAATAATAGTACATTATTGTTCATTGCTCATATATAATATTGTAGTAATGTTCTCAATCTCATTCCCCTATTTTGTGAAACTCTGATATGTAAATGATAGTGTCATTGACTTGCTCTATTTTTCTGTTCATTTTGTTTAATTGACTTGCTTTATTTATTCTATGTAGTTAAATTTGTTCTTTTATATAACACAAAAAAAAAAATGTTTGAAATTTCAAATTTTAAGTGGTAATTTTTTTTATAACACACATCAAGAAAAGAAAAATGTGAAAGATGAAATTGATATCATAATCTCTATAATATATATATATATATAAAAGATGAATTTGTTAGGGTTTCTTTGAGTAGAATGAGATGAAAATGGATCTTAGTTGGGGGAAGAACCCTCTCAACATAAAAACTGCGAACTCTCTCCTTCCCTTGAATTTGTTACTCTTATCCCTCATCCTTTTATGACTCAACAATTATTTTATTTTATTTACTATGAATTTTTCTTTTTTATTTTTATATTGTGAAATTAAGATTCTTTTATATTTTAAAAAAAGAAAATTAACATAAGACATTGCAGTATCTAATTTTTTAGGATTTAGGATTTATATCTTCATTAGCTTATTTTTTAGAAAAGAAAATATTGTTAAAATTATTTGTTAGAATAATTTACATTTATAAATATCATTAAAAATTATTATATAATATATAACTAAAATAATATATATATATTCTCTATATCTAAATACTTCCGTTTATATATAAAAAAAATTATATATTTAAATATTTTCTCAGTATCGAATATACTAATTTCTTTTTTATATAAAAAATTATCTTATGTTTCTATATTTTCGTTTTTACATATTTTTTTTATAATGACTGAGGTATTTGATTCATTTGGATAGTTAAGATATAGTGTGCTTCTAAAAATAATAATATAATTTTATTGATTTTATCTCTTATTCATAATTATTTATATAACTAGTTGTCAACATATATTGTTTTAGTAATTCAAATGCGAGATTCACGAGGAAATAATAAAGAAAAAGGAAAAGAGAAAGAAAACTATGAAGCTTAGACCAAGGAGGATTCCGATGAATTGTTACAATTGATAGTGGATGCTATAAAAAGAGGATAGGATATTATGGAGAATTATCATTATTATTTATCTAGACATTATTATTTTTTTATTATTTTTGTCTTGGACTCTTTTTAAATTTGAATGTATGCATTTTTTTAAAAAATCTTATCAAATGTCAAAAGTCCACAAAATCCCACAGAATCCATTAAAATCCTGATTTAAAAGTCTTGCAGAATCCATTAAAATTCTGATTTTAAGTCTTATGGAATCTTGCAAAATCTTAAAAGTCATGAAAATCCTGCAAAGTCTTTTAAAATCCGCAGGATTTTTTTTAACTACAAAAGTTCTTTAAAATCTTAATCCAATACACCCTCCTTAAGTTAATATTTTAATGAATTCTGCGATACTTTGTGAACTTTAGAAATTTTGTAAATTTTTGACATAGGATAAGAGTTCAAGATTTTTTTTCATACATTCAAATTTAAAAAAAGTCAAATATAAAAAAAATAACAATGTCTGGATAAATAATAATAATAATACTTCACCTTAATATCATATCTTTCTAAATAACATTCACTCACATATTCATAGTTATACTAGTCCTCCAAGCATTAACATCTTTTCGCTCTTACTCTTGAATTTTAATAATGGACTCAAAATTATGATTTTCATTAATCGATAATGTTGAAGATGAAGGTTCGTCCACCACTCCAATTGGAAATTCATTAGAATGACATTCTTTACCAAAAAGTTATGTAGTGACTGCACATGCTAAAAATTATTCTAACAACATTTCATTTTTTTATATATGATTTAAAATATTTTATTTATAAATGATTAAAATAATAGTGGGACAGCTATCTTACTCTCTTATAACTAAATATGATATATTTGTACTCGAGTATAAATTTACAAACATCAACTAGGAGGAAAATATATATATATATATATATATGAAACTTGTTACATGTACAAAATAATTTTTTAATTACTTTCAATTATTCACTCGTGAAGAAATATTTTTAGTATTAAATTATAAGATACTGCAATGTCTTATGTTATTTTTTTTAAATATAAAAAATCATAATTTCACAATATAAAAAAAAATCATAATAAAAAAAGAAATAAAATAATTGTCGTTAAGTCATAAAAAGAGGAAGGATAACAGTAACAAATTCAAGAGAGGGAGAAATATCATAGTTTTTGTGTTGAGAGGGTTCTTCCCCCAACTAAGGTCCATTTTTATCTCATTCTATTTACAGAAACCCTAACTCAAAATTATCTTATATATATATATATATACTATTCTAATAAATCTAAATTGATTACAAGGTATTGAGTATCTACAGTTTATTATAGAGATCATGATATCAATTTTGCCTTTCACCTTTCCCTTTTGTTTACACGTATTATAAAAAAAATTATTGCTTAAAAATTGTAATTTCAAGTATTTTCTGTTACATAACTGAGGAACAATCTCAACTAAATAAAGCAAAATAGAGCAAGTCAATTAAAGATAACAGTGATAAAAATATAGCAAGTCAATGACACTATCATTTATGTATAGAAATTTCACCAAATAGGAAAATGGAATGGGAACAATAGTACAATACTATATATGAGCAGTAATGCAGTATTATTAGCAAGAGAAAAAAAAATGGAGAAGACACGAGCATAGAAAAAAAGATGAAAAACTCACTTGAAATTTCTTGAAGCGCTTGAAAAGTCACTTCAAACAATCCTCCAAAATCTGATGGGTTTGAATGAAATTGTTTATGAATTTGGTATTTATAGATACTACTAAAAAGTACTTCAAAATCTCTCTAATACAACAATCCTTTAAAATTCCTATATTTTTTAATACCAATTGATTATTTTTAAGTGGTAAAAAGTCTCAAATGGATACTGATGAATTTTAATAGACTATTTTAAAAATCTTGAAAATTCATATTGAATATCATTGGATTGTTTTTAAATGACATAAAATTCTGATTGAATACCAATGAACTTTTTTATTCAAAAAAAATCTTTTAAAATCTTATGAAATCCTAAACCAATACACCTCCTTAAATTTGAATTCTAAATTATAATTTCTAAGAATAAAACAATTATTTTTTCATATAAGTTTTTAAATTAAAAAAATATCCTTAATTTTTTTTATAGATTTTGCATTTAAGTTCTAAAATTAGTAAAATCATTACAAATTATTAAAAAATTATTGTTTTTGTAACTAATAATGTCATAATATATATATATATATATATATATATAGGAGAGTTCAAACGACACCGGTGTAACTTGTACTAAATATTACACCGCTCAATAACTCTATGTTAAATGTGAGTTTTGTAAATCATACTGTTAGATTGAAACATATAAAGTGATATGAATTTTCAATCTAACGATTAGATTTACAAAATTCACATTTAATATAAAGTTATTGAGCGATGTAACACTTAGTAAAAGTTACATCGATGTCGTTTAAACTCTCCTCATATATATATATATATATATATATGTATGTGTGTTATTTAAAAAGTACACAGTTAACTTCAAAATAATGAAGTAATTAAATAATTTAGTTAAAGAATAAAAAATTAGGAACAAAAGAGAAAAGAAAGAAAATGTCTCTTTATTAAATTTAGAAACCTAGTTATAAAATTGTAAAACTTTAAGATCTAATTAAAAAAACTAAAATTTAAGGTCTAAATACAAAATCTTTAAAAAAATTTCAATACCATGCCCTGAACATTATCAACGTCAACATCTCAACAACATATAACATAATGCATCAAGTATGTTCAACATAACTATTCAGTTGATCAACATACAATTCAACTTAACTTTCAATCAGATATCATCTATAAAACATTATTCCATACCAATACATGTAGAATAAGCAACATTTAACAACCTACATCATGCAACAAATTATTTTTCTTTATTCATTTTTACTAGCTTCATTATAAAATAACAATTTAGATTAAGATAACTTGTGCTCAAATCCACGAAACAGCTTCGCATCGACTTAACATTTTTGATTCACGATTCTATAAACCCAAATCCACAACAACACAACAAGACTAAGACTCGAGGGAAGACTCACCCTCATAAGAGAAAGTTTGAAAATGAAAAGAACTTACGGCCTTCAGTATCTTTATAACTTATCTCTCTAAGATTGATGCAAAAAAAAAAAATTAACTTATGAGGCTCAATTATAAATAGAGACCTTATATATTTATTTCCTCAAAATCAAATTAAACCTGTGACCAAAGAAACCATCAACTACCTAAATCTCATAAAAAATTCATGAATTTCATAATTTTCTTAACACAAAACAACACTAAACAACAACATATAATTAAATAAATCAACAACAGTATTCTAAGATTCCTAATATTACATTACCCATACTTTAAGATAATTTCAAATATTACCTATGAATACGAGTTTATTTGTTATTTTTATTCATGTTTAAAGATGAATTTCAAATTTGAAAATCTTAAATTTCTTTCCCAACGTTTTGTTTTTTTTTTAAAAGAAAATTTAAAACCATTTCGTATATGACCATACTTATTTAAAGGTTGATGCCATCCCTCTCTACTAATTTAATCATAAAAAGACATTGTTACAGGTCGTTCGAAAACTTTTCGAAATTTTACTTAAAAGTAGTAAGGTAGTTTTTTAATTTATTTTATAGATGGATAAATATTTATTTTAAATGGCTAAAATTTATACAAGTATTCATTATTATATAAATTACATTATATTAAAAATTTATAATAAATAAAAAAGTATTCTCTATATATATAAAGTAAAATAATTATTTATTTTTTAAAACATTGAATTCTCTTTATTCTACCTCGCATCTTAATTTACATTTATTTTTATTCAAATATTCTTACATAGTATTTGGTCGGAGAAAAATAAAAGTGAAAGAGAGGAGAGAATTTTTTTAAAAAAAATTAGTTCAATTTTTAGTTCGCGTTTAATATTAAAAAATTTGTATAAAAAGAGAGATTTTAAAATATTTTAATATTCAAAATATCTCAACTTATGTTATTAAATTTAAAATTATACTATTACAAAAATAAATTATTTTATAAAAATTTTCCCGAGATAATTTTGCTCTCCTTCTCACTCCTTTATCTTTGTAAAATATTTGTTTCTTCCATATTTTTCTTTCTTTATCCTCGCAAGAAATGATTAAAAAAATAAATAAAATGGTGAGAAAGAATGTTACTAACATCCCCAATGGCCAATCCCCAATAACAATAGGTTGAAGAAAATGAGGCCTTTTCGGGCACCCGACCCAGACAAGTAAAACCGTATCTTAAGCCCTAAAACCCTAATAACCACACCACTTTCTTCAACCCGCCACATAGTGGAAAGGAAAACTCTGCAAACATTGCCTTCAAGGTAAGCTACATCCTATTCCCATTGTTACCTCAACTTCCACGCGTTCTCTCTTGCCTCTGTAATTCTGCGTTTTTCTTTGCATCTTGTTTAGGGTTTTTCAAGCTTTTTGCTTCTGGAAATACCCAACATTAGGGTCCCTCATCTAACTATTTTAAACTTGTCCATAATAAAATTCCTCGTGTGTTTTGTTACTTACCGTGGTCAAATCGCTATCTTTTTGGTGCGCAATTTCTATACCTGTAGCTAGGTCTGTTACTTTACTTGTGTTGTGCTTTATGCTGGTTGAATCTGCATTATTCAGTAGTTAGAGTATCCTTTGATGGTTCACGGAGCTTTGTTAATGGCTGGCAGATGAATTTCAACAACGTGAAGGTCCCAAAGGTTCCTGGTGGCGGAGTCTCTGCTTTGCTTAAAGTTGGCATTCTTGGTGGCCTTGCTGTGTATGGGGCTGCAAACAGCTTGTACAATGTTGAGGGAGGTCATCGAGCCATTGTCTTCAACCGTGTCATCGGTGTTAAAGACAAGGTTATTATTGCATTGTCCATGACTGTTGAATGAAAGAATTTTTGTAATGGAAGTAGCTGCGACTTGCAACGTTTTTTTACATTAGTGTGCCTCTTGAATGCAGGTCTATCCTGAAGGGACACATATTATGATTCCTTGGTTCGAGAGGCCTGTGATCTATGACGTTCGTGCACGACCTCATTTAGTAGAGAGTACATCAGGGAGCCGTGATCTCCAGATGGTAAATTTTTTTGTTTGTCCCATTTTTTCCCTTAGTCTTAAGATCTGATCTCGCAGTTTACTTGAATTTGTGGCTGCAAGGAGTCAAACAGGTTATTTCATCATCCTTTTCTGTTCATTTTTGTTATAGCAACATATTTTTTGTTATGAAGTTGGATTACCTTTCCTCACCTTGCCCTTTCCTACCTAAAAGAAAAAATATAAGGGTAAAGGAAAAATCAGCATAGGACTTTCCCCTCCCAATTATTGTCTTTTCTCCACCTTTTCTTTTATAACCCATTGCAGTTGTTCAGTTGTACTGGTTCTCGTTTCTAGTATTAACATAGTGCTATATTGTATGTAAGTCCTGCCTCCTTCCATATGGGCTGTTGACTGCTGGCACTTGGCATTAAGAGAGAGCTTATGTCTTGTGTTACTCATTTCTCTCATCAGATACCTTACCATTTCCTCATTTTCTTGATCCGTGTTTGAAACACTTCATCTCAACTGATGTTGTTCATATATTTCACCCATATTCCTTTCCATGTTTTGCGCTTAGTTTAGTTCCATTATATTTGAAACTGTTCCAATCTTTGACCATGATATTATAGATTTATGATAGAAGAGTTAATTCTGATTTATTTGGATCATGCAAATATAGCCAGTGCTTGCTCAATTGGTGTATGGACAGTTCTTTTATCTCCATACTTTTTTTGACACAGCATACTTCACAACAATTTCTACTACAATTTCCATTTATTATGGATCTATGTTTCTGCTAGGTGAAAATTGGACTTAGAGTCCTTACCCGCCCTGTTCCTGACCAATTACCGACAGTGTATCGAACCCTTGGCGAAAATTATAATGAGAGGGTCCTGCCTTCTATTATACATGAAACTCTCAAAGCTGTAGTTGCACAGTATAATGCCAGTCAGCTCATTACTCAGAGAGAGGTAAGTATTGACATAGATTCTCCCCTATCTTTTGTGAAGCTAGTAACTGGATTAATTGTATGCATTCTTCTCAGTTTGAGTTCGTATTGTATATTCATGAATCTAGTAAATTCACTTTTGGATGAGTGTTAAAAATGAATAGTGTGACCGATTGTTTCTATAACATGCCATTTTTCAGGCTGTTAGTAGAGAAATAAGGAAGATATTGACTGAGAGGGCTTCCCAGTTTAACATTGCTTTGGATGATGTGTCAATCACAAGTTTGACTTTTGGGAGGGAATTTACAGCTGCAATTGAAGCCAAGCAGGTTGCTGCTCAAGAAGCTGAGAGGGCTAAATTTGTTGTTGAAAAAGCTGAACAAGACAAACGAAGTGCTGTTATTAGAGCTCAGGTGAAAATAAATGGCCCATTTTTACATTTACGATGTTTATTAATATTTCTACAAGTGGAACTATACTTCTATTGTTTCTGAATTGCTACCAAACCGTAGTACTTTTTTCTCCAGAAGAGTACAGATGGCTGCTTTTACAACTCTATTGTTTATATGTATAAGCTATTCCTTCCCTTTATGACAATCAGGGTGAAGCCAAGAGTGCCCAGTTGATTGGTCAAGCTATTGCCAATAATCCTGCATTTATCACCTTAAGGAAAATTGAAGCTGCAAGGGAAATTGCTCAAACTATTTCAAATTCTGCCAACAAGGTTTACTTGAATTCAGATGATCTCTTACTGAATCTTCAGCAGTTAAATTTGGAGCCCAGTGGGAAGAGATAGTTGCCAGGCTGAGTTCAGTTAATTACTGCAACCTCCTTTTCCTTGTACCATTATTCATTTTCACCTGCATGAGCGTTATATCAACTGTTCAAATATGAGATTCAGCCTGAAATGTTGACAAACTGATGGTCATTATCATTTAATGGAGCATGAGATAAGGGAGGTACAATCATGTTTTATTCGTTTTCACTTTCAGTGATTCTGATCTTGAATGGTCGGATGTCAAGGATTTGATACTGATTTATTGTGGCACAGTGATTCTGCTTTTATTTTTATTTGTTGACTCTACCATAAGTTTCATACTTGTCATCATTGTGATGCTATCTACGCTGTTGAAATAATAATTATTTAAACAAAATCTATATTTAACGGTGTAACTTGTGGCACAGGATGAGAACAAACCAGAACAATCGAAGGAAAACAAACATAGACTGATATAGATCCTTGCCTTCTTTTGACTTGGGCATTGAACTTATAAATTTCAGGATTTTATATGCATCTAGGGCTCATTCAATTTTATCAGTATGTGGTGTAAAGGATGATTAAATGACTTTAATATACTAAAATATGGTAACTGCATCAAAGTCCAAATTATGAGTCTGATAATTTATAATTTTAGTTTATATTAAAATAATAAAAAATTTAGTGGTTAGGAGTGGGTACAATTTTTCAAATTTGCGTAAAAGCAAATCCCTTGTCGGATATCATCTGTTCTGCATTTTAATGACGATGAATGATGGATGTGACTTCAATTGTTTTATTTTTGGCAAACAATCTTTGCCAATTGCGATAGATGTCGCCTTTATCGTCTTTACACTTGTAATGAAGTGTTAGAAACATTTTTTAATACTCTTTTCTTGTTAGTTGAAATTTATGTAGTTTGAGAAAGAGGCTTCCGTACTTAATAGAATTTACATGAATTTTACTTTATAGAAGAAAGTGTTTTAAAAAATTGTTTAAAGAATGTCTTGCTATCATTTTTCAACTAAAACGGAATCAACAAAATATGTCTTTAATCTTTTAAAATTTATTTAAGACTACGGAAATTAGTATTTGGGAAGAAAAATTATCAAAAATTTTATTCATTATATATCCTTTAATAATTGATATTACCTTTTGTCTTTATTACAACATCCAAATAAATAATTTATCAAGATTAAGAAAAGTTAGATTTTAGTGATAAAAAAAAATATTTTTTTTTTGTTAAGATCAATAATTGTGTTAAATTTGACTTCCTTTCAAAAATTTTAAAATAGTAGATTGAAGCCTAACTCAATTCTACAAAACTGGTTTTATGTTCATGGTGCATGTATTAATGAATGGTGGGTGACCCATTTTTAAGAATCTAAGATAAATCTGATACCATTTTAAAATAGTGGATTAAAACCTAACTTAACTGACTTGTAAAGTGAGAGTTGTTTTCTACTTATATACTAAGTAATTGCCTAATCTCTAGTCGATGTAGGACTTGGATTTTTTCCAATAAAAACTATCCTTAAATTAATGGAACATTTAATATATATTTCTAAACTTTTTGTATTTTAAGAAAAAAATGTAATTATTTATATTTAAAAATGAATATTATTTGTTTAACTCAATAAATATATTTAATAAAAAAATCATTTTTTATAACGAAAATAATGTTTGAGATATAATAAATTTAACCTTATAGAAAAGATTAAATTAAATTAAAATTTTAAGTCTTATAATAAAGACTAGAGGTAGAGGTAACGGTGTTTTAAATTAGATTACATTTAGTAAATACGAATTAAACATGGGATAACATTTCTCTCGATTACATTTCTAATCAACGTATAATTTTGGTCTTTTTTACATTTTAAAAAATTATAAAATGATCTTACTTTTCATTTTTTGTTCTTGTTTCCTTTCTTATTTTATTTTGGCTGGGAATGTAAGTAAAATTGATGAATTAAATTCCTTTGAAATTGAAACAAAACAAGTGAATGATGGAGATGGAGATGTTCTTCTGGAGAGGAAGCAGCCACCTTCAACTTTTTCAAAACCCTTCCAATCTCTTCCTTCTCTCTGGCCCTCCTTCTTCGTATTTCCTCTTTCTTTTTCTCTCTCTCAATTAATAATGTAACTCATATGCCATGCATGTCCAATGTCTTGTTTCAATTCTTATGAATAAATGTTAATGTACAGTGGAAAAACTTCTCTACTTTTCCAATTTGCATTCAATGTAGCACTCCACTGCAACTCTTCAAACCCTAACGTTATCTTCATCTGCAACCGCCTCAGGTTGGATTCCAAACCCCCTTTTCTTTCTCAGGTCCGTCTCTTCTCTCTCTTTCCC